AGTAAGCTGGGAACGACTCACTTCGTTCCTCTTGTGGCGAAGATGGTCTCCCCTTTGCTTAGTTGGATCCTGGGTTCCTCTGTACAAGGCGTCCTAAGAAATGTGTTAAACCCCTTTCTCAGCGGGCAGCAGGCCCCGTTATAGTCCTCTACAACTCTGTACTGGACCTAAGGAACACAAGACAGTTTGGTTTTATGTTCATTTTATGCCACTGCTGCCCTCTTGTGTCCAAGAGACATCATGACAATTACTCACGCTTCTCACACGCTTGTCTGCTTTTTGCTTTAGCTGCTCAATCTGAAAAAGAGAAAACAAATACGACAATTATTTGACTTGAACACAACAAATACATTATCATTGTACAGTGTGAGATGCCAAACACAAACACGTACAGTTAGAGTATGCTGGTGGCACTTCTCATTAACAGGCCACTCAATGCCATCTCCCTCTGGGGTTCCAGACCAGGTGAACACCTGCTTAAAGTTCTCCCACCGACTGCCCAAATCATACGGAAAGATGAACTCCTCTCCAGTTTGGTAGTACTGGATTCTGTCTTTGGCCTGAAAGAAACATTGAGGCTTCTAAGTGGTAAAGAGGACAGTGCTAAGACAACACATAATGCAATTCACCAAATCATGTGTTAAATATTATAGAGGCCGACTCTATTACCACGCAGTTTGTATAGAGATAACGTAAACCGTTACTGATTTTCAGAAAGCTTATGAAGCTGTAGTGGTATTTGCAAACATCTACCAAAGCACCACTTCTACATGCAGTAAATGCTAATTATGCTAGGAACTTAAATATATGAAGAGCCTATAAAACTCTCTAAGTATATGCTGAACATACTGATATACAGAAGTAGGACAAGGATGTTGTATTCAACAAAATGGTAAAGAAGCTCACCTTCTCCTCGATCCATATTTCAATTGAGGTTTTGTTTCGCATAATTACTTTAATCTAAAAGAAAGAACATACAACAACATTTATCTCTCTACGTGGCATAGGTTCACTGTCTTATTGGAGGAATTTTGTTGTTTTAACAATGTTTATATATTTTAGCCAGTTCCATTTGTTGTTAGTCCCTGCTGTCCCTATTGTGCAAGACATTTAACATGCTTGGTGGACAACGATAACTACCGGATTCTGTCTGTTATTAATTTTTTTATCCTCCTCTTTTATGTTAATTTTAAAGTACTCATCAAACAACTTGGAAGCAAAAGCCAACAATTCACATAAATGGCTAAAAAACACAAAAGAGTGTTTAGCTTTATGTTTATTGATGAATGTGAAATACCAAAAACGGTGATGGAAACAGATTTTTCGGTTAAGTGATGACGTAGCGGGAACACAGAGCCATGAAAAGCTGACAGAAGGCTGCCAAAACTGCTTTACCAAAGGCTTAAAAACGTTTTGACTCCCTCTATGCACTAGGGGTGGGCCTTATGGCAAAAATATCATATCACGATGCTTAAAGACATTTTTCATGATGCTGAATATGTATCACTATATTTTCACACACAAACACAATACACTAGTAGTGCCACATCTGAAAACAGCTCACTAGTTTACATACTGTACTAGTTTACATACTGCACTAAATCCAAACAAACAGCACTAAACATAACACTAAATAACATCAGCACTAAATAATATCATGATAATAGAATTTATCAAAATAATGATAAAATATCATTATACTGGCCACCTCTTCCACACACGGTGAGCGAAACTCTTGCCGTATGCCCTGATGTTATCTTCAAGAATTTGATTTAACTGATTAATTTATTTGACTTGAATACAATGAATACATTAACACTTCAACTGCGAAACCCTGGTTATGTGGCCTAGCAGATGCACAGATTATCAGTGTATTACTTCTACTAATAGAGGAAACTTGCCATCTCATGACAACATGGCCAGTGGTACACTCACGAAACCCCTGTGCAAAGCTGACCTAGGGAAAGCTAAAAAGAGTAGCTAAAATTGTGCTTTACCTGTATGAAAAACAGCATGCCCACAGCAATAGTGGTGCCAAGGGCCAGTCCCAAGGCAAAAAGGGTGGCTGCAAAAGATGCCACGCTGAATGGCATTATAGGATGGTGGATGCGTCGTGCAGCACTCATGTCTATCTTCACTGAGCTCCAACCGAAAGAGATCTGCAACAGAGGCACAGAGGACAATGCAGTTCTGTAAGAATCTGGGAGACCACCTGACTTGGATATAATTACATTAACAGGTTTTAATAACACCTGGTTTTAATCTTGGCAATCTGCTTCGGGAGTTAAAAGTGAAAATTGTAGCAAATACAATAAACCTAATAAATTACAGATAAATAGATAAAAGACTGACCCTGTCATACAACTGGGTGTACATGGTCATGATGAAGATGAAAGCAGCGTGCATGCATCCCAATGGGGCCAGGAGGAGGAAAGTAGTGAAGTAGGCATGATTCAGATGTCCACAGCAGTTGTTGATCCAGGGGCAGTGGTGGTCCATCTTCATCACACACCTGAGGGAGAGGAGCAGTTTTGTTTAATTAATGTGTTAATACAAGCAACAGCTATTATATGGCTCTTAACAAAATACAAACATGAAATCTTTGATGTAAGTACAGTTAGTAAAACCACATTGAAGGGAATGCTACCTGTTACACTTTCTGCAGTGGTGAGACCTTGGAGCTTTATAACCTTGACACACTCTACAGAACTGTAAGTACATTGTGTCTTGTTGATTTTCCTGTTAGAGAGAATAAATCACATGACCAACATGCAGCTATATTATACCAAACAGACGTCAGTTATTTACATTAAGTTAGGGAATAAAGCAGGATTCAGTATTCTCTCTAAAAACCCTTCAAAACACTGCTATTTACCGGTTTCCACCCTAAAGGAATATATCCAGGACCCACAAACATGGCGTTGAAGTAGTTGTAGAGAATAAGGACTGTCCAGTTGATGAGCATAATAAAGTTAATGCTGCCACCTGTGGTGTCCAAGGGCCAGTACCAGATAATGGAGTCCAGTATGGCCATGGAAGAGCACACAGCAATGACAGTAAGTGCAATGATTGGACCCCAGTGACAAAGCCGCCTAACCTCATGGAGGTTTTCAAATACAATAATGGCCGACAGAATGTTCATTGTGTACTGAGTGTGTTTCTTCAATTTATTCAAGTTCCTTGAAGTGATAAATGAAATGGTTAGATGTGCTGTCTCTCTCTAACGGAATGAATTAACGATGAGGAGGACAAAAGATGTATTTTCTGTCTTCTTCGAAACATCCAGAGATCAGCTGTTTCATGAGTCACAGAAGCCGTTTGTGTCTTAGAGTAAGCAGCTCTTCTAGGGTGTGGCATTCTTTCTCTCTGGTCACCCGGTAGCTCTATTCTCGAGCTGGAAGCAAATCATCCATCTAAGGAAGGGAGCAGAGGAGAAAATGATGACAACTATCCAGGATGTAAAGCAGCTTTAAAGGCTAAAAGTGGAGGCCTTGAAACTCCACCCATTTTTCAAAATCTCTGCATAATTAAACTTTTGACAAAATAATTCAGAGTGGTTTGATGTAAAATGCATTGCACAGAAATTCATGGACTCTGATTTGTTTACAGTGGTGGTGACAGGAATCAGGGGTCACAATGTTTACAACACAACTAATGCCATTTTATTTACTCTATTTACATTTTATTATCCTACATGTTCTGTAAACCTTTTTAAGGTTTGTAGACATAATGATAATTATGGCAAAACTGTTCTAAATCTGAAAAAAAAAAAAATCTTTGGGCACTATTTTGCATGTACCCCTCTGCCCTGTATTTAAAATATATATATTTTAGGCCAACAGCTTATTCCAAAACTATTGTAAAACAATGAATTGGGTATATTCATGAACATTTCTTATCATAGTTTTATGTGAGGGAGATTTTATAGGCATTATATGCTTTAGATGTCTGGTTTCTATCACCACCACTGTGAACAATTCTGACTCAGTAATTTTCTCTGGAATGGCGCTTCTCACATTAAACAACTCTGAATGACTTAGTTTACCTCTTAAACATATAATTATGCAAGAATTGTAAATAAATCTGAGGAACTCCCCTTTAACAGAATAAGCAGTTGTTCAACAGTTGAAGTGAATTGCTTTTTTGCTGGACTGCCTGTTAGTTTATGCCTGTAAATCACAATTAAATCCCTTCAGTAAATTGTTACATTGTTTTTTAAGTTCTTGTTTTCTGTATAAGACGCTACGAGCCGTGTCCCATGTTGCTGACGGTTATCCAGCTTCTAATAAAGATCCTTTGACATTAATTCCAACACCCTTATCAGCTGACTTATGATCTGTCATGCTTTAACTAAAACTGCAGTGTACGGTGCAGACACTGTTTACAATCCTGCGGCCATTATAACAATAATATACACTTAGTCCTACAATGGACGCAGAGCAAAACTCGCGTCTTATCCAAACTGAAATTGAAAACATAGCTAGGCTAGCTACGGAGCTATTCGTACCAAAACAGCGGGTTTAGCAAGCAAGCTAAGCTACCAGGCTACGTAAAGTCATGTAGAAGAGGGGTCACTCACCACTTCACAGTTCTGCCCGTTCAAGACTGTATAAATACTGTAATGCGCACCATACAGCATATTGAAAGGGTAATTACGTGTATACAGCTAGTGAATAGCTGTCTGTGCAGTTAACGACCGCAACCTTAAGAGCTTTTCTTTCCTTACACCCACCTCGATACTTCCTTCTGTTTTTCTTCTTGTCCTCCTCTCGCACTGAGCGGTGCTCTCTCCACTCATCTGCCCTCCCAGTTCATGTATGGACAGACTGAGAAGTACCACGAGATAACTGGAAGACTAAACTAGCTAATCATTGGGTTTAATGTCATTTTCAGCACCCTTGGTCAAAAACGTTCATGTAAAATAATAAAGATTCATTGAAACTGTTGCTGCTTCTAGTCAGAACCAATAAAGTAGCGGCGTGATGTTTTCGGCGAAACTCGATTGGGGTAACACAGCCAGGAAGTGACGGCGACGTCAATAACAACATTTGATGCAGTAAGAGAGACGCGCTCCCTGTTTTAACACCTTTAAAACTCACAGCTTACAACGATGTCGTCGGATTTCGAAGCCTACGAGCAGGAGTTTGGCACTCTTACCGCGGAAATCACCAACAAAATCGGCAGAATACCCAAACTGGGTGGCGGTGAGTAGCTAAGCTGCTGTGGAGAAGGCTGTGAAGTGGGCTAGCGTGAATGAGCTAGCAGCCGGCTAAAGGCTCAGAGAGCTGGACACACAGACACAGGGACAGACGGGCACAGGCTGAGTAGCAGTCTGTAAGAGAAACTGTAAACCAGGCTCTGACTTCAGAGGAAAGGAGATACATCTAATACTGGAAGTGTCAAAAGGCTAAAGAGTTTCACTGTTTGGCCAAGTCAGAGTTGTCTGTAAGGGTAGTCTTCCAGCTCACTGAACTGTCTAAAGGGTCTGGAAGTGGTGGGTTAAGGCGACTGGACTCGTGGTGAAGTCTTGAGTTTCGACACTCATCCGAGGAGGTGAATTAATTCAAACATATCCAGTCGTGCGTCCTTCTGGAAATAGGCTAAACTCAACAGTGATATGATCCTGTTGATCCTGTGATTCTGACTCTCCTGTGTTACTCGTGTCTTGTCAGGTAACCTGATCTATATGTCAAAAAGTTTGTTACACACCTGCTCTTCCAGCATTGTTTCTGAAATCAAGGACATTAATAGACTAGTTGTCGTTCCTTAGCTGCATTAACAGCCTCTACTCTTCTAGGAAGGATTTACACTATATGTTAGGATATTGCTGCAAGGATTTGATTACATTCAGCCTCAGTAGTATTGATGAGGTTCATGCACTGATTTAGGATGATTATTTCTGTTTCACAATTGTTGGGTAATTTGCTACAGCAAGGCTCCCATAATTTTATGATTTCTGTGACATAATAAACCCCAAAACAGAACTAAAGACCAAGATTTTGAATTTCACATCAAAACTCATTTCAGCAATACAAGCACACAAAATAAGTGGATTTAAAAGAAGATGAAAAAGCAAATCTCACAATAAAATTAGACTGGGCTAAGGCTTAGTGAGTAGAGAAGTGGTTTTAATGAAATGAGAATGTCAGTCGTTGAATATGGAGTCTATTCCCCATATACACTCCATACATGGAGAATATATGGTTACCAATGAGTTTGGTAACTCTCTATTAAAGGTAATAAACAGTTTTAAGCAACTCTCCTGTTATGTTAAGATGGATTAAGACTGGAGATTTAGCCCATTTTAATAACCCTTCAAACAGATACATGTGCTACAATGATGCTTGTAATAGTATTAGTTTTACACTTTGTGTGATTTGGATTTCATACTGTCCAAATTGGACAGTTAACTTATAAAATATAATTTGTTACTGAGCCTTTTCAGAGGCTCAAACTAACAGTCAGAACAGATTACCTTTTTTAGTAGTTAGAGATCTATTCAAAATATAAAAATCGGTTAAAAATAATAGATACGTTTGTTGTTCATTGTTGACAAAATCATTTGCAGAAGGTGTTGTGTTGACAGTTACAGACATCATTTGTTAATCTTATTGTGATATTGGCTTTTGTACTGATATTGCAGAAGACTGCACTGTGCAGATGAGCCTATAACATTTTGTTTTTGTGTGTGTGGATCTTGTTTTGATCAAGCTGATTTCCCTTCATAGCTAGGGTTCACTCGTGTATAGTATATAATACACTATATGGTCAACAGTATGTGGGCACCTGACCATCGCAACTGTATGAACTTGTTAGACATCTCATTCCGAAACCTTGGGCATTAATACTGAGTCGCCTCCCATTTGTGAATCTAACAGTCTCCATTCGTCTGGGAAGGCTTTCCACAAGATTTTAGAGTGTGTCTGTGGAATTTGTGCCCATTCACTCAAAAGAGATTTTGTGAGGTCAGGCACTGATGTTGGAAGAGAAGTCCTGGGTTGCAGTCCACATTCCAGTTCATCCCAAAGGTTTTCAGTGGAGTCCAACTTGTCAAACCATGGAGCTTGCTTTGTGCACAGGGGTACAGTCATGCAGGAACAGGAAAGGGCCTTCCTCACACTGTTGCCATGATGTTGGATTTGTTTAATTGTATAATTGGTCGACTGCATTGGGGCTGAGCTGTTGTTGCTACTCAGTGCTACCATGTCACAATAATAGCACTTACTGTTGACTGGGACAGATCTAACTGGGCAGAAAATTCGCAAACTGACTTGTGGCAAAGATGGCATTCGATGACAGTGCCACTTTTAAAGACCCTGAGCTCTTCATTACAGCCGATTCTTCTGTCAGTGTTTGTCTATGGAGACTGCATTGCTATGTGCTTGATTTTAGACACCTGTTAGCAGTAGGTGTGGCTGAAACACTTGAACTCAATATAAAGTGTATATTATACATAAGAAATTATTTTCAGATGATATCATTTATTCCGAAGCGCATCACAATGTCAATAGAAAGAAATCTAGCCATAATATGATATCCTGTCCACATTGTACATCCATTGGAGGCCTCATAGTTCCCTATGTTAGTCCTACGCACACAAAGCTTAAGAAAAATGTGAAATTGGCCCCGATTTTGATATAGTACTGTTAAATGGGCAGTAGAATAAAATAATTGGAACATTGTTGTAATGTCTAAAAATCAATAATAAGCCCTAGTTTTTTCATTTCATTTATTTCTCCCTAAATGTAGGATCAAATGTATGTTTCATATCAGATTACAAGTAGATGCGCGCACTGTCCATGCAGAAATATAATGGTATCAATATGCAGATGGCCAATTAAAAAAATGTTATATTGTGTGACAATATGAATGTAGATAATTGTTTATTTAGATAAACTGTGAGTTTTTAATTCTAAAGACTTTCTTAACTAAGATTTCTTAATTCAGGCTGGTTTTAATTTGTGCTGCTTTTCATCAAGGGTGATATTATCTGTTTAATAGTTGCATTGAAAGACACAATACTAAATGATTCTAAAACATTAATGTCTGAGTAACATTTTGTCATTCAGCCTTTTTCGTGTTTTAATTTACAGCCAGCGCTTCCATTTCCTAGAACTCTATTGAGAATGAGAAATAAAAAAATACATTTTGTTATGCTGTCACAGAATAACAGCAAAAACATCTTTAGTCTAGATATTTATGGTTTATGTGGCTGTGTGAACCTGTGATGTCATAGCTCTCACATATTGGAATGGTATAGTGCATTTACACAAATGCTTACCTCATGGTTAACAAAGAGTTAAGTAAAGCATGTTGTGCACAACCACAAACATATCCACTCAGCTGGAACTGACCTAATTAATTCATTGTGCTATCAGATGGTCAGCACATAATGCACGCCTGATTAGTGAGGGACTGGCGTGTACACTTGCTTCACACACTGCTAAATATCCTTTGATTTATTAGAGTACTAAGTAGTGATATTTATTTAGTGATTATTAATTTATAACTATGGCAGTGCTTTATTATTTGTGCCAAATTATGGAAAATCTAAAAAAGCTTTTTAACCTCTCAGCTTTAAGTATTTATGTGTAACATTTTCTGTTACCAACTGTAGCTAAGTATTTACATTTTGACATAGAAACATTCAGCTGAACTTTATTTTATTTTTACGTGGTGCAGTTAATGCTGGGAGATATTATATATACTGGTTCACCATGATAGTGATGCATCATGATACTGCTTTAAGTATCATGATAAGTGATATTTTAGTGATATAGATGGGTCATAACACAATGATGTCTCTGTTGTCAAGTAGTTTGGTTTTATTTTTTCATTCCCTTTTGTGCACGGTATCACAGATACCCTGACAGTTAACTACAGTATATGTCATTTACTGGGTGCTTAGATTATTTGCAAAAGTCATGTGTTGATATTAAAATTTTATAACAATTACAAAACCTTTTGTCACAATTTTTAAATATTGTTACGATAACCTCAGAACAAGTTTATAAGATATTAGAAGTACAGACATGCAGTGTTGTGAATGTCATTTTTAATAGCGGTATGTTGGTGGTTATAAATTTTGGGGATTTTTGTCTTTTGAAAAAAATGTTCACTGATAGCTTATGGTGTAATTGCATAACAGTCTTCTCTTGTTTCTGGAAAGCTGTTTTTGACAGTCTGAAAAGAGAATTACAGCATTTTGTTTTAAAGTTTTGGTATAATTCAGTAAATAATTTATTCCAAACACTCAAAGCTATTGTAAAGCAGTGACTCAGGAATCAGACAGCGTATTCATAACCATTTCATGGAATAACTTTTTGTGAGGAGCTTTCAGAGGCATTAAACTCTTCAGATGTCTGGTTCCTATCACCACCACTGTGAACAGTTCTGATTCTGAGTTTGTGCAGAACTGAGCATTTTGCATCAGTCCACTCTGAATGACTTTGTTTACATCTTAACGATTTAATTATGCAGAGATTTTGTAAAATCCATGGAATTCTCCTTTACTGGGCTTCAAAGCATGGAATTTAAATATAACAGCGTATTAAGAGACTGTGAAACCAGTGCTACTGTGTGTGTCTAAAAAGCCTCTGGTGAAACTGCAACTTGTTGACTAAATTGTATTGATGGTATTTTAGATTGTCCATGACAATATCTTGTGTGTTGAATATCACAGTATACCTTATTACACATGTCTGTTTTTGAAAGAACAGTTCACAATACACAAAAACGAAATAATAAGTATGTTTAATTTTTGTAAATATGTTTGGGTTTGGTTGTGTCTCTGCTAAAATGTCAGTCTTTGATTCATTTTACTGCATTTTTAAACCTATGCAAATAAATGTTATGTTCCTCTGTAATGTTAATCTAAGTGATTCTAGTTAGAATTGTGAGCATCAACAGATATATACAGGGAAAATATTTGTCCATCCCTATTGAAAATCCCTTCGTTCAGTATGTGTAGCTTACATAAAATTAGATCTAACCCAATTTTGATGAATGATATTCAGATGGTGTTGCTAACTTGTTATTGTTGTACATGGACATAACAGATGGGTGCGTTAATCATTAAATCTACTTGAGATTCTTGCCTGTTAACCACAAGAAAACAGCCCTGATTCTGATAATTTACGTCTGATTTGCATGGTTTGCTATAGAATATTGCTATGAGATGCTCCATCTCAGTGCATCCTTCGTTTGCTTGTATTCTACCTTGTTTCTCATTATTTCTCTTGTGCATTCAAGAGAATAAGAATGTGCAACATGTTAAATTGTTAAAGCCTGAATTGCTCCTTCAGAGCTTGGCAGAAAAGGCAGCTTGCACCCAGCGCGGCCCACCACCAGCTGGTAAATGTGTAAATAAGCCCAGTGAGTATGAACAAAGCCGTAAGCCGAGAATGCTCATCAGTGATGGCCAGGCCTCTTCAGCTTTGCCAGAAGACTTCTGCTCTAAGAATTTAAATCTCTATTGTACGCAAAAGAACTAGTTTTTCTCTTTTCCCCTCTAGGTGCTCGTATTTGTTTGCAAGCCTCAGAATGGTCTGCTGACAATGGCATCAGCAAAGGTCTTCTTTTGTTGCTGTTATTGCAGTGCACAATGTCATATTATGTACAGACACTGATAAAGGAAGAGACTGGACAGATTAATTGTCCTTGGCCAGTTGTGTTCGAGGCAGCTTCATTCATTCACATGAGAATCAGTAGTGTGGTTTTGTTTTTTGTTATGTGCAGCACAAACTCAGAGCTTTAAATAAGAATTGGAGGCGAATGTGAGCTCTTGTTCCATTAAACTTAGATGTGTATTTTTTTTTATTTAACGGTAACCCCAGAACAAAAATGTCTGTCAATCATATGCCATAAAAAATTGACAAGAGATGCAACGATATATCTTGGTGAGAAAAATATAACTTTACGACTTACAGTGGTCTGTCCATGGACCTCCTGGCCTGTTGCTAGCACCCAGCACACTTGCAATAGAGCCATGCATATTTCAGCCTGCCCTATGTTGGCCCTATACAGAACAGCCTTTGTTTGCTTACCTCACAAAGAATAGCCTCTGGCTGTTTACTGTGTTGGCTGTGAGGTTATACCCAGGTTTAAAAAATGAATTGATGTCCAGCAAAAGAAGGGTTCGTTTTTGCTTCATGTGTAGTGACAGACCTTGCTTTGATACTAGTTAATGGTTTCTTTGTGCTTTGTGTTTTGTGGCAGTGGGAGGTATAGATGTGTGTTCTTGTGTTGATTAGTACTCTTCTGCTATTATTATTATTATTATTATTACTATTATTATTATTATTATTATTGGTGATAGTAGCCGTAGTTTTGTGGTTAGAGTCACATTTATTGTAGTAAGGAGTTATACATAGGTTGGGGAAGAATTTATTGATATCCAAAAGAAGGGAAGTGTACTAACAAACCCAACTTTGATTAGACAAATAGTGCTCTTCTCTATTATTTTTATATTTTTTATTATTAGGGATGCACTGATGTGGCAATTGTGAGCCAATATATAGGTACTACATTTATTTAATTGTGAGTCAAAGTGGACATTTAGGCCAAGGCATTCAGTTTTCAGTCTCAGAAAAAAGCAGAACTGATACAGTACTGTGCAAAAGTTTAAACCTAAATTTGCTTTAAATTCTTACACATTAATATCTTAAAACCATTACTCTTGGTGTTTTTGCCAGTAAATACGCTGCATATTATTAGCATAAATACAAATAAACATAAATACAGTAAAAAAAAACTGAGCTTGTTTGAAGAACAATATTTTATTCCACGTTTCTCTTAAATACCGCCAGCCATTACATACATTTGTGGAATTCCATCACAAGCACATTTGATTAAATGTAAAGTACTGATTAAGCAAACCAGGTATTGGGTGATGACTACAGTTAATACTGGGCTGCCATGAGGTGAGGTTTGTAAATGGTTAAATGAACACATTGACATAAATATTTTTCCATGCAAATAAACGCTTGCTGCCCAGATAATTTTCTCATGTGCCTTCAATTTTTGAACAGTACTGTATATTTAACTATACAAAAGCATCAGCAGCTAAATACAGCTTTTTCCAGTATATAGTTTATCCACCTTTTGCCTTTATAACAACTTCCACTCTTGCTTTCAGTTTTCAAAGAAATCTGCAAAGATGTTTTTCCACACCTCCAAAGTTCAATCTTAAAAGTCATCATGAATTTTCTCTTCTCACAGGCCAAGTAATCCTAAACACTGGTTTTGAGGTCTAGGCTCTGAGGTGGTCAGTCCATTGTTCTAAGAACACCAGCAGCTTCTTTGTTTGATGTGCAAAATGTCTTTGTTTTAGTGAATTGCTTTTTCTTAGTAAGGGCTTCATGTCAGCTATACATCCTTTCAGATAGTGTTGAGTGTTTTCACAGTGGAAGGATGGACAGAAACACCTGTGGATTTTTTCAGATCTGCAGCAAGAGTGGAGTTTGATTTTCTCCCAAAAATAAGTGCTGTTTATTCGATAGTGATAGTTTTGGTGGTCAACCAGGTGTTGCACTCTTGTTAGGCCAATGCCTGTCCAGCATGTTTCCTGCCTTCCACTCAGTGAGCACTAGGACAGGCTACAGCACCCCCGCAGCCCAGGAGGATAAGCAGCTTAGATAGTGTGTGTGTATGTCTGTGTCTGTGTGTGTGTCTGCCAGTGTTGATACATAAATGTGTAAAATTCAGAAATTGGCCTAGATAGCATGGATTAGCATTACAGAAATGTAGCATTATGCAATTAAATGAATAAACTGTTGACATCTTAGAATGGTAGCCCAGCATCGCCTAAATGTTCTGCAATAAATATATTATCAAATAATGGCCTTTTTTAAATTATCTACCGGTACCAATAAATTGCTGAAATCATTGTGCATCACTTTAACATTAAGTTCATGTTTGTTTACTTTCAGCTCGGCTTCTGCATTCACTGAAAAACACATTACTATGTATGGTTATGGATTTTAAGTTAAATGAATATCAATGACTTAAAGTATATCTGTGGAGATCACATTTATTGTACTTGAACATCTTTGGCCTGAATCTCACCAGAGGCAGTGGGTGAAAACCAGAACAACCTCATTTTACTCATTCTGAGTGGGTGGCACACAAGTAGAGTTTGGTGGAACTGACATCTCCCTCCTCTTTGAGTTGGCATGAGCTGTCTCTGTGCTCCTCCACAAACTAACAAAGACGTTTACACGTGGAGAAATAGGAGACATCAAATGCGGATCTCTCTGCGATGTGAATGCGTAAATATATCTTCAAATGCAGGCTTGTGTGTGCGTTTATTTATTTATTTTTTCCCCTTTGGTGCGGGGGAGTAGGGCTCTTGTCATAAAGCGCAGCTCTTCCATCAACTGATCAATATGTTTTCTGCTTCTTCCCTTTCAGAGGAGAAGACGCAGCTGGTTCTAAATGTCGACAAACAGCTTGAAGAAGTCAGAGAGTTGGTAGGTCTTTGATCAGTAATTTCCACTCTCCACATTTTCTAAATAATGAATTTGGAAAAAAAAATTCCCCCTGCATAAACAACACCTGTAATGTCGGTGGTGACACGAGACACTCTTCATGTGGCTGAAGGCTGCTCCGTGCTAACAGTGTGATCACATCCTCATAATGCGCTTTTAACTGACACCGCATGACACATTTCACGCCACTGCTGGAGGAAGGCGCCGTGTCAGGTGCCGAAAGCAAGGATGTGCAGTACATGTAAATTGCTCCTGTGCTTGTTCCGTCATGTCATGTTGATTGGACATTGTAAATCAGCTGGGCCCTTTGCGTGTTTTGCTTTCTCATGTGACACGGACGCATGTCGTAGCTGTCAGTGAGAAGCCACACCAGAGGCTTTAATGAAGCAGCACCTCCTAATGTCACCACATCTGCAGTAGGACTCGGCTTTCCACCGTTTCGAGAACTTTCTCCAACAATCAGAAATAATGAACTGATAAACTTTGCATGTTTCAGGAAGAATTTGTTGGTAGGATCGCAATTGTCTTCCCAGAAATTCTTATCTTGTCTTTTCGCATAACATCTTCAGTGGACTCTTCATTATCTGCCAGTAGGGCTTGTTTGTGAAGAAAAGTGAAATGGTTCAATGACAGTATTTAAAAGGTGGTTTCATGGAGAAATTTAGAAGATGCTGCTTCATTAAGGCCTGTGGTGGCAGTACTCACAGACAGCTATGATGTGCGTCCGTGTCAAATTAGAAATCGCACACAAAAAGCAAAGCTGGAGGAAGACTAAATAAGGCACTAGTAAATGAAGTAGGTGGTTGATTGACCAGTTAAAAGAAACAAATCTGATTAATGTGCCTAGTTGGAGCAGATGGACCTGGAGGTTCGAGAGATTCCTGTCCAGAGCAGAGGAATGTACAACAGCCGCTTGAAGAGCTACAAACAGGAGATGGAGAAGCTGGAGAAGGACTTTGTGAGTAAAACTCTCCTCTACTCCTACACTACATACAGGTTTCACTTTGTGTACACAAACACTCAGACACATAACCCCCCCTCTCTAAAAAAAAATGTATTCCTCACTTTCCAAAAACACATAAAATCTTTGAAGGTCAGTAGCATGTCCACTGAGGTTAATTCTGAGTTTGTTTTTAAAGCTTTGCTGGTCCCGAGGAGCCTGGGCCTATGCTCCTTCTCGATGTCCTTGTTTAGTTATTCATAAATCTTACCTGCCCGTCTAAAACCCACCCCACACACATCAAACCTTAATGAAGGGCTTGCCCTCTGAAGCCACTTTTTTTGCTTGTTTTACATCACTGTGTTGCTTCGTGGTTATTTACTGTTGGTCATGTTCAGAACTATATCTTTTTTCTTTGAGGTGCTCAGCCTGTTTCTCTGAGCCTTATTAAAGTGCAGTAGTTTGTGTACTGCAAAAGAGAAGCACTCTTGTCCAGCGTTCTTGATGCAAGACCTTGTCTGCAATTCTTCCTGCAAAATGTAAAACCATAAAACCTATTACTTTGAATTCTCTTTAAATATCCAGGTTACTTTTAATGCCTTTGAATGCCATATTGTGTTTTTTTTTTTGTTTTAAAGACCGTTGTGCCATCTGTGGAAATGTGAGAAATTAATCTCCTCTCTCTGAAATTCAAAATCCCACATTAAGTCTCAGCACGAACCACTTTTCCTTCTTCATCTAAATCCCGCTTTCAAACTCAGCACCTGTATCTAATTCAAGGTGCGCTTGATATCAATTACCAGATGGCAGCGGCGTCAACAAAGATTCCAAAAGGCGTGAAATAAATGAGAAGATTTAAGAAAAGGATCTTTTGCCAATGATCTGATGCTGCGCTGCTGAGGCTGATGGCTTAGATCACAGTGGAGATCTCTCTTCTCAGAGAGGCCTCGCATTCCTCACCATGGGCATTTAATTGGCTGATGATTAATCTTTAGCTTCTCCTGCTTGACTGTTGCCTGGTTAATTATCATGCAATTAACACCTGCTGTGCAGGGGTTTTGCACCACATTCATCTTTTGCATTCCTTCAGCATTCATTCCTTTTTTTCTTTCCCTCCCTGCAAGCTAAGCTTACATGTTGATTATTGTCTTCCTTTTAAACCTTCAAATATTTGCAATGTAATGCGGATATGTGATGTGCCCTTTTAACTTAAATGTAAATATATCTGCTTGATTAAGAAGTTTGTAGCTTAAAGAGAATACTTTGGATACTATATATGTGGACCATAATAAAATATATAAAATGCTAAACTAAGCAAATATATAATAATTGTGCGCTGACATTTGCAGAGAAATTACGTTGTTCTCTCATTGTACAGGATGTGTTAACTTATTTTCACTTAGAATATTAGCAAAACATGTAATTTGACGAGGGGTCTTTTGCATAACACTGTATTACATATAATCCAAGAAACAGACTGTGATGTCCTTTAAAATCTCTCCTTTAAAGTGATTCATTTTTGTGTACAATAGTTTATTTAGCTCTTTTTTTTCCGATTTATGACAGCAGCAGTTTGTCAAACGTCGTGCTCTGTTTCAGGTTTTAGAATGACATAATAATTGGCCTGATTTAAGTCGGCTTTTGTTCCTTCAGAGTTTAAGTTTCTGTACATTTTGAAAGACAGATCCCCCTGAAGCTTCTGTTGGTAGCAAGGCCTACCAACTTGTCCTAAAGCTGAGAGATTCAGCTGGGTTCTCAGAAGTGCCAAATGCTTTAGCGTGGATGGCTTATCCTCTCTGCCACGCAGTGTGAGCACACGCGCACACTTCTAAGAGGTGTCATGAAAAAGGCCATCACTTCTTTTTTTCCGAAAAAAAGAGGAGTCTTTGTTGTGCTTCCACGGGAAATCAAGGCCCTGTCCTGGCCTTCCCCTCTTCTGGCCTCCCTGGAGCTTCTCCCCCTTTACCCCCCGCTCACATCCAGTCGTTCACCCGCAGTTTGAAGTCTTCCTGCCATCGTACTCACCAGATTCGGCCTCCTGTTCGGCAGCAGACGGGGACTGGCTGACCCAACAACTCTGCCATTTTTTTGGGGAGAAAAGAGAGACATATATCAGAGGCACATCCCGAAGGTATGTTTGCTTCATGATGGCTTCATTTTGATAATGGGGGCAGAGGGTCTGAAAGCCAGAAGCCCCTGTGGAGGCCATATATTAGCAGAAAGAAGAGAGTTTTGGTGAGACAAAAACACACAGGGAAAAAAAAGCCAAAGCTGATTTGTCTTTGATTGGCCACACTACATGTCATTGGGTTCAGGAACCAGAATGACATGCCTCTTAGCAATGCCTTTGATCTGGCAGAAGAGCACCGTAATAGAGGCATAATTTAATGAAGCCAATTGGGTAAACACACAGCATATCTTCAAAGGAACTGACAAAGTTTCTCCACCTCTGAGATCCCTTGTATGGCCACAGTGTCATTCACGTGTACTAGTCTGCCAGTGTGACGAGGGTGTGCAGGTAGATTCTGAGCTTAAACATAAAATTATTAACAGTTATTAAGTATTGATGAATTGTAGACGATCGACCATCAAGGATGATGGCAAATATCAGTAAATAAACACTTCAAAGGTTAATGCAAAGATTTTGTGGCAGGACATCTGTAAATGTAGGTCATATAAGTATGTATCTAAAAGCATTCCTTTTTTGTAGCTGATCTAGAGTAACCTTCTCACCAGAAGAGGCTGCACCATACCTTCAGCATTTTCATGAAATGGATGGGCATCCACATCTAATCGATCAGATTAAAATGAGCTCTATAAATTTTCACTGTATTATGTCCACATACATGCCACTGTCCACAATGGTTCCCTGTGGTGTTTTTTATTTCCCATCACCAGTAGATGGCGACATTGCTCCATGCATCTCTCAAAGTTGCGCGTCAGTGTTGATGCTTATAGGCATTTTCTGATCAGAAGAGTCTCTCCTGGATGCAGCTAGACCTGCCGCTCTATCAGCACAGCGCTGATTCTCTTTGACCTCCTCACTTTGAGAAAGGCAAAATTAGAGCCAAAAAATGGCCCGCATATCCCGAGGACCAAGGTGTGTGTGTGCTTGCTTGAAGGGAAGAACAAAGCTTACAGACAGAGCTGTTGGTGAACAGGTGAATGTTTGCGTTCAGTGGTTCTCATTGTGTTCTCAAGCCCCTGCTCTTTAAAAGACCTCTAAACTTTTAAGCTTTGCCCCCCCAGCATTCTCAGGTGTTATCTCTGGCCAGACATCTAACTGTAGCTGTTGTCTGTCATTACAGTGAGCTCCTATATGGGAATGGGCTCATCACACGCGTTAAGAGTGAAAGAGTTTGAAATGATTTTCTACTCGATGATATAACCTTTTGGCATTACACTGCCAGGGATTAAGAGGATTGAGATATAATGAGTAGTTTCACTGTTTAATTAGGTAGTATTTACATAAAAATGCTGTTGAAGTACTAACTGTTACATTGCGTCTGGCATGTAGATGGTAATGAAACTGTATTAACAGTGATCCTGTTAATACATCAATCCATCATGTAAACACACAGTGCAGTGTGTACAGAGGAATATGCATTTTCCTACTCTTTATTTAGAATGAATAATGCACTGGTAATTACAGTGACATACACAAGAGAGATAACTGTGTTCAGCCACCAGATTTTATAAGAAGATCTGTGTGCTCTTATGGATTGTGGGTGCATAGCCATGTGCTTCCATTGCCCCCTTTTAACCGATAAACACCTCCAGTCTTGCAGACTTTCAGTTTTTGCCACGGGAGATTATTGATGCCTTTCCAAACACATTTATTGAATCAGCCATCCTTGAAACATTGTACACAGTTTATTCACATTATGTCGAGCTGGCTAAATTAAAAATTCATTTTTCTGTGCATTTATATAATGTTAGTGTTGCCCATTTACAAATGACCTTCAAGTGAAAATATGGAAATGTTAAACTAAACCAATATTCATAAGTCTGAATGAAAAAGCATTGAGTATGATGCTTCAAAAAGAAGGCTAATTTGCATGCCCTTGTCAAACCAATTTTGTTTTTCTTTAGTAAAATTGTATTGGTACTTTTGATACTTACAATATATATGTATATTTTTTGGGACAAAATAGCTTCTTTAAAAATGTGTGGCTATTTCAATGTCAAGAGCCAGAAATCCTTGTAGTTATCGCTCTCAAAAGAAATTGACAGCTCTTACTTGATGTAATCGTTCATTTTTGTACACAGAATGACTGTCTGTGGGGATTTATACCTGATATTTTTGTATTGTATTAAGTTTATCAGAATAAAGTGAATAAAATCTATTTTATCTTCAAGATACAACAACAAAAGGAAGCAGTCTCAGATGATCATATTCTGTAACAGTAAAATGTCAAATTTAGTAGTAGTATCATTGGGTGTAATATCAATTTATTGTCCACATGAAGTGAATATATTTAAAAAAAAAAAAATCTAAATATACACTACATTTCAAAAGTTTGGAATCACTTGTCATACCAATAATAGACTAATGCATAACAAATGCTGTTATTTCATTCAGCAAGGACTCATATAATGAGAATGAAATACTGTAAGCTAGACACCAGAAGATATTTTAAGATATTTTAATATTAAGTATCTAGGGAAAACTATTTTTTATAGTGATTTTTTGATGAGTTATCTGCTGGAGATCACCACGTTTCAAATACAAGGAGTTCTAAATGTTATTATATTTGGCACGTTATTACATTCTACATTTATTTTAACTTCATTCTCAGTGTTATACAAACTTGTCAATGGTTATGGGTCATCTATAGCTTTGCTCGTCATTTTGGACCCATGTAGTATATCTTCACTGTTCACAGATTCCTACAAATTAGTTGACACCTATAAAGTTGTAATAACATTATAATAGAATCATTTAATGTGTATCTGCAACAAAATTGTTTATTTATTATTGAACACAGTAATTCCAAACTTTTGAATGGTACCTACCA